GGGGGGGGGGGGTAGGGTTCGGAGGGAGGTTGTTTTATTAGGCACTTGGCGAAGCCCCCTCGTCTCATTTGCATCAGCGCCATCGCCGCCGCCGCCGCCGCCGCTACCGAAAACAAAGCGGCACTAAACTTTTATGGCCCCATAGACAACGCAGCAGCTTTGGGAGGAGGGGGTGGGCGACGACTTGGGCGCGCAAGTATTAACGTTTGCACCTGTTTTTTGCGCATTAAGCAGCGCACGTACGCTGAAAACGTTGTTTTTCTTATTACGGTTATTATTTTTATTTTGCCCTCTCCCCCGCGCATAAAGTCGGTTACCGAAAAGTTTGCTCGAAATTCACCACCCGGTCGTTATTTTTGCAGATTTGAAACAGGACTTTCGAGTGCAGCCCAAGGACGTGAATCCGGCGTCCGGTGACACAGCCATCATGGAATGCGACCCGCCCAAAGGACATCCCGAACCATCGGTGGCGTGGCACAAAAACGGTCAAGCGATGCCAGTCGACGACAAAAAAAGGTATACTGCCATTAATAATGTTATTGGGATTATTTTTTCGACCATTTCAATGCTAAAATTGCTTTTTTTTTTTTAATCCGATTGAATTCAACACATACCGACTTGCCGTTCATAAATATAATTTTTCATTATATTAATCAAAGCTACAGTTAATTGTTGTCCTTTTATATATTACGACTTATAGAATTCTGTGTTTCTATCTAAAAAGTGTAGGTTTATAGGTCATATTATTATATTATAATAATTTATTAAAAATAATTGTTATTAATTTATGAAAATTGTATGCAGGAAAGACATCCATTGTTTTGAGTTTGTATCTTTGAATTTCAGTTAAAGCTTATAATCGGCAATCTATTAATTAATCTTTTCGCACTAATGAACTATTTAACTGAATTAAGTCAAAAAAGAACAATATTGCGTATTAAATCTTTGAAACTGTAGTTCCAAATCTTCTTGAATATAAAATAAAATGTACTTAACTACGAAATAGAATTCCAACAAAGTAAATGGATTCATTATGGGAATATCGATTTAAATTGTAATAGAGAAAACGTATAAATGCTATTCACACTTATAAAGAGCTAGAATATCGTAATTTAATTGATTTTTTTAGTATTTTATAGAAGGTGATTACATTTGATCGAATTCTAAATAAGTATATAACATACCTAATATATGAACGGTTAAAATAAATACGGTATTAAATATTTTATCGGGTTATTTAAATTTATCAAAATGTATACATTCTGTTTTCTTAAAATGTAATGGTTTTAAAACAATTTTAAATTTTAGATGGTACATTGAAGATAATGGAAATTTGATCATTCGAGACGTTAACTCCGAAGACGACGGTTCTTATACATGTGTTGCCACCAATTTAGCAGGAGTCAGGAAATCCAAACCGATTTTGTTGGCAACTCAGAGTAAGTACTAAGTTACATTCTTAGAAATTAATTTTCAAACTCATTTATTGACTGTTCTCCGCTCGTTTATTTCTATTTATAGTACGCCCGTACATGATACAAGCTCCGAAGGACACTATAGCCATGGCTGGTTCCAGTGTACAGTTGCAGTGTAAAATCGGCGGGACTCCTCAACCAGAAGTGTTCTGGAAAAAAATATCGAACACCGGGGTCGCACAACACATAAGGACTAGCCATTATAGGTAATTAATATAATTTTGATCGACAGCTGATGATATTGCTTAAAATATTTAGATGACAATGTAATATTAATTATTTTTTTAGTTTTTTTTTTTCATTTTTTGGTCTTTATTGTCGAAAAGACGCTAACTCGGTAAATGTTAAAACAAATTGTATTTATAGTTATTTAAACATTAAAGTACACAAAAAACTTTTTGAAAAATATTTCCGATTTTACCGTTCATTTTTAACTAGTAAATTGGATGTGTACAGCCCAAATTTAGCTGTGAAATGCAAAATGTATAATATGTGAAAACCCGTTTATAACGATAATGACGAGTCCAGTAAAAAGCGGTAGTCTTATCCGATGAGCAGGATGGAAATGGATATTTCATTCTACGGAATTTATTTTATCAAACGAGGTTTTGATCATGCTTACTGATTTTTTTGATTTTTGTAGGACGCCCCATTGATCTGTTGTTATTTTTTTCATATAACAACATAACAAATTTACTTTTTGCTGGACCCCACACTGTTGGCTCTGCGTCAATATTAGAGATAATTAGCATACTGTCAAAATATATGATATATGATATTAATTTGATATGTATAGATTATTCGTGTTGTAGCGTTTAGATTTTTTTAACAGGATTATTATTTTTAATATTATATTTACGTTAAATAAAGATATAACAAAAATAATACATCTCTGTTACTGCTGGATTCTACACACATCATTTTTAAATTCATTAACTCAAATTTAGAATTTTTGTGTTCATATAGAGAGTTCAAATTTTCATATGAATAGTTGACGGATATGATAATTATTATTTCTTTGAGTTTGGCGCGTACCTACCTGCTAATTGACCGATCTCAACCAATTCATTATTTTGTGCTCCAAAAGTAGTAATTTTTTCCAGCCATCGTACACTAAAAAAAAAAAAAAAACTCAACTAGACGTAAATCATCGGGTTGAACAAATATTTGTCTTTTAAACAATAGGATTTCCGGTAGATTTTTCTTTTTCTCCTTATAAACTCTGCCGTATAATAAAGTGTATTATGGCATTATGGTTTTAAAAATTCAAAGAATATAATCTCGAGATACTAATACGATAAAAATGATGGATGTTTCAGGAATGAGAAGCTTTCCGGGGACAGGGACACGTTCGAGCACGTTTACATAACGCAAGACGGCAGTTTGAGATTAGACAACGTGAGTCCGGAAGACGAAGGGAAGTACGTGTGTCACGCAGAAAATCACCAGGGCAAAGTAAACGCTGCGTCTTCCCTCACTGTGCACTGTGAGTATCTAAACGTTTTACAGCAGTATATAGTTATTTAAATAATTCGTTTTATAATAACGAGGTCGCATAATGTATGAAATAAATATATCGCGGTATTACGGTTTACTTCCCGCGGGAAATACAAAAACTAAAATCTAGAATCTGACGTGTGCTACGATTTTTCACCGAAAATAGCTATACTATATAGAGTTGTGAAATCGCCGCTGTGCCTCCGATTAATGAAATAATTTCACCCGTCCCGAGAAACGATCAATTATTTAATTAAATACAGTAATAACGCAACTACAATGTTTCAAGCTTTCACATTCCCGTAAATAAAACCTCGACGGGCATTTCGATTAATAATTAAAGGTATCTAAAATTACAGCTGACTTCGTCTAACAGAACTTTACGAAGAAGAACACAATCCCTTAGGATAATACACAGTGGTTATCTCATTTTGAACTAAAATGTTATACTTCTTAAATTATTCAATCGACTAAATTATAAACAGGAGTTGTGTTTTTGTTTGAGTACCCGTGCAATATTGTGGTAAAGTAACTTTGGTTCTACCGAACTTTCGTAACTTTTTTGAGCGGTGGAAATAACGCTGATGGCAATATTATCACCATCAAGCATCGCACTGCAAACGTGATGACAATAAAAACCGGATAACCCGATGACCGCGGTAACAGTATAATATGTTTACATATTATAGCAAAAGGTGTGAACAAACTGCGTCGCACAATGCTTTTCGATTTATATATTTTCGTCTTTGCCTTTAAAGCACGCGTGAGAGCTGAACTGACTTGTACGGCCAAAGATAAACACAATATTACCATCGCGAAGCCGTTAGTGGGAATTAGGGTCCGGATGTGTTTATTATTCGTGAGTGATTTTAAAACTTTCGTGTTCGATAATAATAATAATTTCGAAGTTCGCAAGAGCCAGAGGTGAAACGCTCTGGTCCGTTCGACATCGTAATTTCAAAACTTCGGCGCAACAGTTATCATCCCGCTTGTATACAGAGTGTTTCTACTGCAACGAGCGAACATTAACGTGTTGGGATAAAACAAAATGGTCGAATAAGTGACCCAATTTAAACGAAATTGTAAAAAAACCATAATATAACTATAATAATATGAACTTTGTAGTATTACATACGCCGCCGTTCCAATCATTAGGGATTAGAAGAGGGTTAAAGCCCCCCTCCCCCCCCCTATAGTCCACTTGATACAAAATTTTTACTCACGCTACTTGTCGACCTGATGATCGCTATCAGCGTCTATCAATATACTTGTCCGGTAATTGCCTGTGAATAATAATGTCTACCACCGCATATTTACTGCATTCCAGCGTGTTATTTGCCTAGCGATAGCTTCAACGAAATTTTCCAAAACTCGTCTGTGCGTTGAACTTTGGGTCAGCTTTTGGTTTTTTTTTCGATCTCATTGTGCGAAAAGTGGCCAAATCATTTCACGGCCTTCGGTATTGTTTGGGGAATACCGGGAGTTATTGAGATTTAGATTCTAACCGGTATTTTAAAAGTACAAATTAAAACCTCATATTTTTCGAGAGACATAAAAAAAAATGGAGAATTTCGTTTTCAGGTCACTTCACAAAGTATATGATCATCGTAATGGTAGTTTTTGTTTTTTCGTAGAATCGACTAGTCTAATATGTATACAATATATTATCATTATGCGAGATGATTACAAAAATTGAATTTGCAGCGGGTCTTCATATTATTATTATTATTATTATTACCATCTACGTCGGACGAGAACGCCTGCGTAGCTCTCGCTGTTTTCGACGCAAAACCACGGCGCCTAAACCCGCGAAAACCCCGGGCTAGACAATTTTACGCATGATCGTGCTTTTTGTACTATATGTATAGGTATACGCAGAACCGTGTTATAATAATAATAATAATAATAATAATAATAATAATAATAATAATAATGAAGTACGGCAGACGAGGTAAATAATATCTTTCGCTCTTA